GGAGTACCCGGAGAAAACCCACGCAGGCCCGGGGAGAACATGTAAACTCACAGGTACTCACAGGAAGGAAGGAGCTGGGATCGAACCCGGTACCGCTGCACTGTGAGGTTGACACGCTGTAAATATGACAAGTACTTTTTTCTACTGTGTGCAATATACACAAATCTAAGACAATATAAACAAATATATATTCGTAAGATGTATAAATATTAGAGAAATTGCAGCGATGTTAGACAAAAAAATTATAACATTTAAAATGTGAAGAATACACAAAAATACAGAATTACCCAAAAATATTAGAAAAGAATAAACAAAAATATCTCCTTTACACATACTGCACATTGCGTGAGTCCACACACACAAAATACAAAAATGTTACGTCAAATTGGGCAAGTAGTAGAAAAGGTACAAACGTTAGGAAAACAACTTCAAAATATACCAAAAATACTCACATATTGAAATGAAATCTTAAAAAAAAAAAAACAATTCTGCCCTTTGAACGGAAGTGGTGCTCTCGGCTGTTCCTTCTTGTTGACCGCCTCCCTCGAGCGGAGCACTTGTTCCTGGGGAGTCAGCATATCAGCGTTCACCGTTCACCGCTGCTGTCATCGTCCAAGCTGAGGAAACGCGACCACGCTGAAGCCGTCGTCTGTCCGGAAACTAACATAAAACCTTCTCCTTCCCGTCTCCTCACAGGTAGGACTTTCAACCACTGCAACGTTTATCGTGCGCCCGACATTTTGTGCTTTTTTCCGGGGAAGTTTGCCGAATAATTTTTGAAAAGACGACGCTAAACACCGCCGTCAATCCTACCTGCTTGCAAACTTCAAATGAGTTCCAAATTACATGACTATCCTCCTTCTGATTTGTTTTGTGATGGATGCACTTTGAAGCGTGGCTTTTAGTGACTTAAATCGGTGTTAATGGCTAACAATTTAACACAGTAGCATGCAGGTAGCCAAGTCACCTGCCGACCTCAGTCAGACTTGACACCTGTTTGCCTCCTCGCCCGAAACTGTTGATTTAAAGCGACACCCTGCTGACTTTTTGTATTTTGTTTCTAATTCTCGTATTTGTATACTAAAAGCTTTTAGAGTCGACACGACGCTGTGGTAACTGAACGCAAGATTTTGTTTGATTCATGTAGTTTGTTGCAGTTTTATTTGTCATCATGTTGCGCGCGGAGTGATACTCCGAAAGTGAGAGCGACAAGAAAAAGTAGGTCGTTAGGCGATCGATTTTCGGCTGCTTGGCAGCACGTCGTGTAGTTCTAGTCATCGTAATAAATGCAGAAATATTTGAGAAAATATCATGAGCAAAATACACAAAACTGGGAAAAGACATAATAGTAAGGAGACATTTTACACAAATTTAGAGTGTTCCATTAACCTGCCATGCATGTTTTTGCAACGTGGGAGGAAACTGTCTATGTTTTTATGTTCAATAAACAAACAAACAAACAAACAAACAAAGCAAACAAACTGGAGTACCCGGAGAAAACCCACGCAGGCACAGAAAGAACATCCAAACTCCACACAGGTAGTTCGGGGCCGGACTCGAACCCACGGCCACTGTGCCTTGGTCACACCAACGTTGGAAAAAGTGTTGCTTTTTTTTTAAATTATATCTCAAAAAACAAAATAAAGCATTTAAACAGGGGTGGGTCGACCTTATCTATCCATTGAATCTTTGCTCGTGAGCAGGTATTGAATATTGATCAGTTGACCCCCTATGGCACGGGTTAACATCACCCAAAGTTATAAGCGTTGCTGCTTTTGACTAGTTGGTGAAAAAAACTGTGTCAGTGGACACGTATTATTCAACAATTAGAATCCAGAAACTGCTTTCTCAGTGTTTGGGTGTGTGTAGGTGTGTATGTTGAGTTGAGTTGTGTTGCGCTGCGCGTGTCTGCTGTGTAGTGTATGTTGAGTTGTGCTGTTTGTCGTGTGCGCTGTGCAGGAGGCCACCTGGCAGCACCGCTGGTCAAAAACACATCAGTGTTGAGGAGAGGTTGGTTTGAGGGTTTAGCGCGATGTACGTGTTGCTATTGCTGTGCCCCAAGTCATACAAAAATCTCATGTCCTTCACCGCCGAACATTTCTAGCTTGAGTAACTTTTTGTGTGGTCAAAAATTCTCGGGATGCATAACTGTTTTTTTTTCCGATACTGATAACATATCACTTTATCTCTTTTTTTTTCTTTGCTCACGCCATGTTGCAGGTGTAACAAATTAGCATTCAGTTGATTTCCATAACATTTCGCAGCGCTGCGTTTTGCCACATCAATGCCCATTCGCAGTTTTGTGTTTCAATTTGGTTGTTTGAGGCACATCATGAAAATATTGACTCGCAAACCAACAAATGACTCCCTTGAGGTCGCCGAGCCAATGTCTCGGTGCTGCTTTGATCTCTTCTTGAAATTTTATAGGCCCCACGCCCTTGTCACCAAATTCAAATTAAAAGAAGGTACCGGAGTCATAAGTCACACGAAGCGTAAATCAAAATTGTGTTTGTGTTAGATGAACAACAGTGCGTTTGAGGTGTGTCGGCTTCTGAGCTGCTGTTGATTTTTCAGGGCTCCAAATAGCGCAATGCCATCTCCGTGCTCTCCATATCAACATCCAGTTCAGCCGTGTCACCTTCCATTCGATTTCCCGGTCACGCGGATGCCGGCGGTGGCTTGTTTTTTCCGGCGTGCGCTTTCAAACGGCGGCCATGCGCTCGTGATGAAGATATTAAGATGTGCAGGGTATGCCGCGCCCTCGCCAAGTATGAGCAGATGAAAGCCGACTGCTGCTGTCACATCTGGGCCGTGACGGCGTTTCCCACAGTGCGCTTGCAGTGTTTGCCAGGGAGCTGCTCGGACCTGAGCTCCTCAACTATCAACTCAACTCGCTGATTTTGCTGCCGCCGCCGCCGCCGCCGTTGGATTCAAACGCTGCGGTCTTGTCTCTCTTTTGCAGGGAGCTCCTGTGTCAACACGCGCTCGCAAATCTAAATCATTCAACCCCTCCCGTCTCTTTTTCCTTTTGGGTTTGAGCGAGCGCTTGCGGCAGATGGCCGACTCCCCGAGATAACTTTCGTGAACCTCTGAGACCGTTTTGAACCGTGTTGCTCAGCAACACTGAGGAAAGGACACTGCTACAATGTAAAGTCTACAGATTGTACGGTGTGACGGTGAACGTTTGTTTTCCTCGCCAAACGACTGAACACACAGCTATCGGCGTCTAAACCGCCGACAACAAAAGTGAGTCCACTCCGAAGTGTCGATCTAAATGTCGCCATTTTTGATGATCTTTTCCAGGATTCTCCATGAAAACATGAGACTGGATAAGGAAACATTTTTTTGCCTCCAACACTACGTCGTGCCACCGATTGACGCAAAATTGGGTTGACACATTTATCATTTGACAGAACTCATGAAAAAGTCCCCGTGGACGCATGCAGGACATTGGACAGCAAGTTAGCCGTGTGCAGAAAAGCGGGACATTAATGCATGCAACCATTATCCAAACCGCTCATCCTCACGATGGTCGCAGGTGTGCAGGAGCGAATCCCAGCTGACTTGGAGCGAAAGGCGCGCCGAACCGTCACGCCTGAACAGTCACGCCTAGGAATAATCGAGAGTGTTCAGTTTACCTGCCGTGCATGTTTTTCGGAATGTGGGAGGAAACCCGAGTACCCGGAGAAAACCCAAATGGGCTTGCGGAGCACACGCAACCTCCATAGACCGGATTCGAATCCTCGAAATCTGCACCGTGAGGCAGACGTGATCATCCGTAGGCCACTGTGAGGCCCAACATGTAAATCTGATGCATTATTATTCTTTTGTATCGAAGCTCAAACGGTTTGGGCGAATTCCAAGCCTTCTACTTTCAAGTCCATCTGAGTAATTTCCCCAAATTTAGCAGCTGTCCTTGACAGGTGGCCAACACGGAAACGGTCCCTCGGATGAATTCAAGTGTGGAGGCTTAACATTTGTTGTAGACGATGACTTTTAACATTGCGTGCGACCGCCTCGCTTCTTGGCATTTTGCTGCACTTTGCCTTTTCTTTTCGTGTCACTTGGCATCCATTAAATAGTAAGATACGGGAGCACTCTTTGCGGTATTTCACGTTGTTTTCTTTTTCTCCTTAGGCTCAGCGTTCCCGATGGCATCCCTGGTTTCCCCCCGGGTCCCGGCATGACAGTCACGCCAACTCAACACAAAGCTCAGCCCGGTTCATCCTCACACAAAGACGCGACAGCAAGCTTCAGGTGCGCCGGCGGCAGCAGCGACTCTGATCAACTGGTTTCTCCTCATAGTTGACTCTCGATTCACATCCCGCACAAACCGCTGGAGAAACAAACACAAGTTCATTCGGGGAAGTGCTAAGCTAGGTTATGTGTTAGCAACCTTCTTCAAAATTAGCTTGATCATCTCCTTTTGATTTGCGCAATGTTCTCCACTCAAACCATTTTTCACCCCCCCC